ATTATCTTGTGGAAATTCAGAACAAATAAGCTGTTTACATTCGCTTTAAGTTTCTTAAAAAGAATGCCCAAAGTAAAATACCTCTTTTCTTTTGAAATAAAGCATCTGAAAAGGACAGGAAGCAAGGTACAAAGAGAGCATATCCAGAACTCCTTAAAGCCGGCACCTCTGGTCTAGGTGACTGCCAAGTGACCTGTACTAATTGTCTAACCATTTTTAAATGTCAAGTTCAGGACATTTACAGGGACGAGACTCTCCTGCTTGTCTTTTGACACCAAAAATCTTTACATTGCTCCTTAGTTCTATCTTACCAGCCAACAAAACCCCTGTTTCCACTCTTGCCTTTTGGTTTAATTACATTTCCTATTATAACGATTCCGTTTAGAAATGCCATGTGTCCTCAAATGAGCACACAAAACCCAACTCATATAAATTTTAGAACCAAGATTTATGAAATCATATTGTCCAGGTATTTTATTACATTACCTTGAAATTGCATTGTTTCCTAGTGTAGATTATCTGTTTATTCTTAAGTTATTCCATTAGGTTTGGATATGAAAAATAACACTAGCATTCGCCACGCAGGTCACCAGGCTGGCTTAGCTGATGTGTTGTTTTCATACATTTTTATGATCTTCCTATAGTAAACATAATTTAATAAAGCCAAAGCACACTAAATAAATAATTGCATCTAGAAAAGCAATAAAAACAAATAAAATTAGTACTTTCATAAGTGAAAAAGGTACTTCAATTACTGCTACAAGCAACAACCCCCCATAAAATGTGTAGAATCATTTCCCTTATGCATATTTCTGGAATATAATAATTTGATTGAAGATCTGAGGCAGCACACGGCAGGCTGGGAATTGTGGAGTATATACAGTTTCCAAGAGAAGATGCACAACCGCAGTCCTTGGCATCTTTAAAGAACCCATTGTTTTCTCTGGCATGCACACTTGGCTATCACCATCAACCATGTGCTTAATTACATTTCCCAGCTTGTTTAACTGGCAATAAATTCCTAACGGCCAATAAAAGGGACAAATGTATACTTCTCCCTGGTTTTTGCCCGAGACCTCTTTCTTTGCCCTGACGTTTCCGTGGAAGCCTTGGGTGCATCTGAGAAGTAGCTTGGAGAAATTCTTTGGCATATCAGTAAGACTAGGTGAGAATTTAGAACTGGTTGGTAGTAAAGCCAGGAGGCAGGAGCAGAATGCAGGGGTTGGATGAAGCAGGTGGTTGCGCTGGGCCAGAGCCAGG